CCAACTTCTGTCCGAACAGTTTGGGCTACACACTACTATGATGGTGAGACTCTCACAAACACGTACATGTCATTTGTTTTGCTCTAGGATGTTCACAGGCCTCACAAGACTCATCTGAAGGTCCCCCAGCACAAGTAAAAAAAAAAAATTTGAAGTATATACACTGCTCAAAAAAATAAAAGGAACACTTAAACAACACAATGTAACTCCAAGTCAATCACACTTCTGTGAAATCAAACTGTCCACTTAGGAAGCAACACTGATTGACAATAAATTTCACATGCTGTTGTGCAAATGGAATAGACAACAGGTGGAAATTATAGGCAATTAGCAAGACACCCCCAATAAAGGACTGGTTTTGCAGGTGGTGACCACAGACCACTTCTCAGTTCCTATGCTTCCTGGCTGATGTTTAGGTCACTTTTGAATGCTGGCAGTGCTTTCACTCTAGTGGTAGCATGAGACGGAGTCTACAACCCACACAAGTGGCTCAGGTAGTGCAGCTCATCCAGGATGGCACATCAATGCGAGCTGTGGCAAGAAGGTTTGCTGTGTCTGTCAGCGTAGTGTCCAGAGCATGGAGGCGCTACCAGGAGACAGGCCAGTACATCAGGAGACGTGGAGGAGGCCGTAGGAGGGCAACAACCCAGCAGCAGGACTGCTACCTCTGCCTTTGTGCAAGGAGGAGCAGGAGGAGCACTGCCAGAGCCCTGCAAAATGACCTCCAGCAGGCCACAAATGTGCATGTGTCTGCTCAAACGGTCAGAAACAGACTCCATGAGGGTGGTATGAGGGCCCGACGTCCACAGGTGGGGGTTGTGCTTACAGCCCAACACCGTGCAGGACGTTTGGCATTTGCCAGAGAACACCAAGATTGGCAAATTCGCCACTGGCGCCCTGTGCTCTTCACAGATGAAAGCAGGTTCACACTGAGCACATGTGATAGACGTGACAGAGTCTGGAGACGCCGTGGAGAACGTTCTGCTGCCTGAAACATCCTCCAGCATGACCGGTTTGGTGGTGGGTCAGTCATGGTGTGGGGTGGCATTTCTTTGGGGGGCCGCACAGCCCTCCATGTGCTCGCCAGAGGTAGCCTGACTGCCATTAGGTACCGAGATGAGATCCTCAGACCCCTTGTGAGACCATATGCTGGTGCGATTGGCCCTGGGTTCCTCCTAATGCAAGACAATGCTAGACCTCATGTGGCTGGAGTGTGTCAGCAGTTCCTGCAAGAGGAAGGCATTGATGCTATGGACTGGCCCGCCCGTTCCCCAGACCTGAATCCAATTGAGCACATCTGGGACATCATGTCTCGCTCCATCCACCAACGCCACGTTGCACCACAGACTGTCCAGGAGTTGGCGGATGCTTTAGTCCAGGTCTGGGAGGAGATCCCTCAGGAGACCATCCGCCACCTCATCAGGAGCATGCCCAGGCGTTGTAGGGAGGTCATACAGGCACGTGGAGGCCACACACACTACTGAGCCTCATTTTGACTTGTTTTAAGGACATTACATCAAAGTTGGATCAGCCTGTAGTGTGGTTTTCCACTTTAATTTTGAGGGTGACTCCAAATCCAGACCTCCATGGGTTGATACATTTGATTTCCATTGATAATTTTTGTGTGATTTTGTTGTCAGCACATTCAACTATGTAAAGAAAAAAGTATTTAATAAGATTATTTCATTCATTCAGATCTAGGATGTGTTATTTTAGTGTTCCCTTTATTTTTTTGAGCAGTGTATAAGACCAATTTAGTTCCAAAAATAAGGGGTTAAATACATGAAAAAAATCAAAATGTATCCTGATCTTTCTTATACAGTGGGGAGAAAAAGTATTTGATACAATGCCGATTTTGCAGGTTTTCCTACTTACAAAGCATATAGAGGTCTGTCATTTTTATCATAGGTACACTTCAACTGTGAGAAACGGAATCTAAAACAAAAATCCAGAAAATCACATTGTATGATTTTTAAGTAATTAATTTGCATTTTATTGCATGACATAAGTATTTGATCACCTACAAACCAGTAAGAATTCCGGCTCTCACAGACCTGTTAGTTTTTCTTTAAGAAGCCCTCCTGTTCTCCACTCATTACCTGTATTAACTGCACCTGTTTGAACTCGTTACCTGTATAAAAGACACCTGTCCACACACTCAATCAAACAGACTCCAACCTCTCCACAATGGCCAAGACCATAGAGCTGTTTAAGGACATCAGGGATAAAATTGTAGACCTGCACAAGGCTGGGATGGGCTACAGGACAATAGGCAAGCAGCTTGGTGAGAAGGCAACAACTGTTGGCGCAATTATTAGAAAATGGAAGAAGTTCAAGATGACGGTCAATCACCCTCGGTCTGGGGCTCCATGCAAGATCTCACCTCGTGGGGCATCAATGATCATGAGGAAGGTGAGGGATCAGCCCAGAACTACACGGCAGGACCTGGTCAATGACCTGAAGAGAGCTGGGACCACAGTCTCAAAGAAAACCATTAGTAACACACTACGCCGTCATGGATTAAAATCCTGCAGTGCACGCAAGGTCCCCCTGCTCAAGCCAGCGCATGTCCAGGCCCGTCTGAAGTTTGCCAATGACCATCTGGATGATCCAGAGAAGGAATGGGAGAAGGTCATGTGGTCTGATGAGACAAAAATAGAGCTTTTTGGTCTAAACTCCACTCACCGTGTTTGGAGGAAGAAGAAGGATGAGTACAACCCCAAGAACACCATCCCAACCGTGAAGCATGGAGGTGGAAACATCATTCTTTGGGGATGCTTTTCTGCAAAGGGGACAGGACGACTGCACCATATTGAGGGGAGGATGGATGGGGCCATGTATTGCGAGATCTTGGCCAACAACCTCCTTCCCTCAGTAAGAGCATTGAAGATGGGTCGTGGCTGGGTCTTCCAGCATGACAATGACCCGAAACACACAGCCAGGGCAACTAAGGAGTGGCTCCATAAGAAGCATCTCAAGGTCCTAGAGTGGCCTAGCCAGTCTCCAGACCTGAACCCAATAGCAAATATTTGGAGGGAGCTGAAAGTCCGTATTGCCCAGAGACAGCCCCGAAACCTGAAGGATCTGGAGAAGGTCTGTATGGAGGAGTGGGCCAAAATCCCTGCTGCTGTGTTTGCAAACCTGGTCAAGACCTACAGGAAACATATGATCTCTGTAATTGCAAACAAAGGTTTCTGTACCAAATATTAAGTTCTGCTTTTTTGATGTATCAAATACTTATGTCATGCAATAAAATGCAAATTAATTACTTAAAAATCATACAATGTGATTTTCTGGATAAAAATTACAGACCTCTACACGCTTTGTAAGTAGGAAAACCTGCAAAATCGGCAGTGTATCAAATACTTGTTCTCCCCACTGTATCTCTCAGATATAGGACAGACACTTCAGAACAAACTTTCTTTAGATATCTGTTGTTCCATGTAGTGAATCTGTTATTCAAAGCGTTTGTATGGGCTAATAGCAGTAAGGCCAAAAAATATATATATATATATATATATTTTTATACTTCAAGGGGTCTTAAAATTCTAAATCAAATAGGTAAATGATCCTAGGTAAAACAATTCCATATAGCTTAGTAGAACTGTAGAGGGTCAATTAAGAGCTATGTTGCGCAGCTACACCTAACTTGCTTGAAACTGATTGTAACTGCATTTTTAAAACGATGCCACGTGTGCTATTGAAGTAGCAGAGAAATAAACGTAGTAGCAATGGAAAACTGGGATCCCCCTCTTGATTTAACAAAAGGCCAAAACTGCCTTCAAAAGTGTTTTCCCACAATTGCATTAAGAATTGTCGTGCATTGACTGCTTGTCAAAATACATGCTTCCCTCAGTATGGCTCTCGCCACTTGAATGCGCCTTGAGGAGTATTTATCTTGCATAGAACACACAAGCCGACTAGGTAAATAGGTCAACTATTCTACTATGGGGTTATCTGATTTAGTTTTAATAACAACAGGCTACATGGGAAAAATAGTTGCACTGGAAAGTTGCATCCTGAGTGATGAAGTATAGGCTTTGAATTGCTTTGCCGGCAGCTACACACCACCATTTGAGTTGAGCGGTGGTGCGCATTATAGACTAATTATTCTTCTGAACATCGGAGTGTCAGCAACAATCATGCATATCAGTTCACTGCACACAGCGTAACAGAGAAAATAAAATATTTGAGAATACATTTGGGAATATATTTCGTAGAACAGACAAGCTTCTGTATTAGGCCATGTAAAAATGTAATATACTCAATAGTACAGTAGTACAGTGGGTTCAGAAAGTATTCAGACCCCTTGACTTATTCCACATTTTATTGTGTTACAGCCTGAAATCAAAATTGATTAAATATATGTTTTTCCTCACCCATCTACACACAGTACCCCATAATGACAAAGTGAAAACATGTTTTTAGAAATTGTAGCAGATTTATTGAAAATGAAATATCTTATTTACAGAAGTATTCACACCCCTGAGTCAATACATGTTAGAATCACCTTTGGCAGCAATTACATAAAGTTAATTTCTTTGGTATATTTTTTGATGAGGTAGGCCAGTGACACAAAATCTCAATTTAATAAATTCAGGCTGTAACAACAAAATGTGGCAAAAGTCAAGGGATGTAAATACTTTCTGACGGCACTGTTCTGTATATGTGACTGACCATGAGGAAGACCCAGGCAGGTATGAGCATAATGACTGCAGCTGCACTGGTGTAGAACTGTAGATCTGCAGGGCTAAACAGGACACAGGAACAAGTATTTTATTCAGAACAGATTTCACATACTATAATCTACAGTCAACAGTTCAACATCAAATTCCTCTCCTCACATTCTTTATACATCTGTTAATACACTGATGTATTGTGCTTTTTGTATTCCTATGATACAATTAACAGGAATTATAATCTAGTACAGGATATAAAACCGGGCATAATAGGCCTACATTCATTTACTAAAATATGGAAGAACTAAAAACAACTTACCTGAATTTGTAGGTGTCTCCACTTAGTAGCTTCTTTGAAAAAACATTCTGTAAACTGAGAGGGAATATGAAAAGAACAATGAAAACATGTGGTGTTACATTGTCCTGAAAAGACAAAGTTGTGAAATGTGAGAAAAGTCATGAACTCGGGTACTATTTTGTTAGTGTGTGTGTGTGTGTGTGTGTGTGTGTGTGTGTGTCTACCAGTCCATGATGTTGGTAGAGAGGGCTGCGGAGAAGCCCAGCATGTTGAAACTGATCTCTGTTGCAGTGCAGAGGGCCAGACCAGCCATGACAGGAAACAGGGACAGGTTCACCCACATCCCTACAGTAGTGTAAGTACACACACACACGTTGGCTATCTGAACAACACTTAAGGACATAGTCATACTTCATTAATAAGTGCATAGACGACGTCGTCCCCACATTAACCGTGCGTACATATCCCAATCAGAAGCCATAGATTACAGGCAACATCCACACTGAGCTAAAGGCTAGAGCTGCCGCTTTCAAGGAGTGGGACACTAATCTGGACAATTATAAGAGATCCCGCTATGACCTCCGACGAGCCATCAAACAGGCAAAGCATCAGTACAGGACTAAGATCGAATCCTACAAAGCTGGCTCTGACGCTCGTCGGATGTGGCAGGGCTGGCAAACTATCAAGGAATACAAAGGGAAACCCAGCCACGAGCAGTCCGGTGATGCGAGCCTACCAGACGAGCTAAATGCCTTCTATGCTCGCTTCGAGGCACTGAGTCATGCACGAGAGCTGTTCCGGACGACTGTGTGATCTCGCTCTTCGTAGCCGATGTAAGACCTTTAAACAGGTTAACATTTTCAAGCCCGCGGGGCCAGATGGATTACCAGGATGCATACACAGAGCAATCACTGATCAGCTGGCAAGGGTCTTCACTGACATTTTCAACCTCTCCCTGGCCCTGTCTGTAATACCTACATGTTTCAAGCAGACCACCATAGTCCCTGTGCCCAAGAACGCCAAGCTAACCTGTCTAAATGACTAAATGATCATCGATTATAGTTGGTCATGGCTCACATCAACACCATCATCCCAGACACCCTGGACCCACTCCAATTCGCATACCGCCCCAACAGATCCACAGATGATCTCTATTGCACTCCACACTGCCCTCTCCCACCTAGATAAGAGGAACACCTATGTGAGAATGTTGTTCATTAACTATAGCTCAGTGTTCAATGCCATAGTGCCCTCCAAGCTCATCAATAAGCTCAGGACCCTGGGACTGAATACCTCCCTCCCTGACGGGCCGCCCCCAGGTGGTGAGGGTAGGCAACAACATGGTGGCCCCTCATGGGTGCGTTCTTAGTCCCCTCTTGTACTCCCTGTTCACCCACATTTGCGTGGCGGCGCACGACCAACACCATCATTAAGTTTGCGGACGACACGACGATGGTAGCCCTGATCACCGATGACGACGAGGTGGTCAGTGACATGGCAGTTTGGTGCCTGGACAACAACCTCCTTCCCTCAACGTCAGCAAGACAAAGGAGCTCATCGTGGACCACAGTAAACTACAGGGCCGAGCACGCCCCATCCATATTGACAGGGCTGTAATGGGCACAAGTTCCTCTGTGTCCACATCACTAAGGAATTAACATGGTCCATAACACAGTCGTGAAGAAGGCACGACAACGCCTCTTCTTCATCAGAAGGCTGAAAAGATTTGGCATGGGCTCTCAGACCCTCAAAAAGTTATACAGCTGCACCATTGAGAGGATCTTGACTGGCTGCATCACCGCTCGGTATGGCAACTGTTTGGCATCCAATTGCAGTACATCACTGGGGCCTAGCTCCCTGCCATCCAGTATCTCTATACCAGGTGGTGTCAGAGGAATGCCCTAAAAATTGTCAAAGACTCCAGCCACCCAAGTCATAGACTGTTCTCTGCTACCGCACGGCAAGTAGTACCGACGCACCAAGTCTTGAACCAACAGGATGATGTTGTGTGCTTATGGTCATTGTCCTGTTGGAAGGTGAACCTTTGCCCCAGTCTGAGGTACTGAGCGCTCTGGAGCAGGTTTTCATCAAGGATCTCTCTGTACTTTGCTCCATTCATCTTTCCCTCGATCCTGACTAGTCTCCCAGTCCCTGCTGCTGAAAAACATCCCCACAGCATGATGCTGCCACCACCATGTTTCACCGTAGGGATGGTGCCAGGTCTCCTTCAGAAGTGACGCTTGGCATTCAGGCCAAAGAGTTCAATCTTGGTTTCATCAGACCAGAGAATCTTGTTTCTTGTGGTCTAAGAGTCTTTAGATGCCTTTTGGCAAACTCCAAGCGGGCTGTCATGTGCCTTTTACTGAGGAGTGGCTTCCGTCTGGCCACTCTACCATAAAGGCCTGATTGGTGGAGTGCTGCCTTCTAGGTTCTCCCATCTCCACAGAGGAACTCTGGAGCTCTGTCAGAGTGACCATCGGGTTCTTGGTCACCTCCCTGACCAAGGCTCTTCTCCCCCGATTGCTCAGTTTGGCCGGGCGGCCAGCTCTAGGAACAGTCTTGGTGGTTCCAAACTTCTTCCATTTAAGAATGATGGAGGCCACTGTGATGTTGGGGACCTTCAATGCTGCAGAATAATTTTTGGTACCCTTCCCCAGATCTGTGCCTCGACACAATCCTGGCCCGGAGCTCTACGGACAATTCCTTTGATATCATGGCTTGGTTTTTGCTCTGACATGCACTGTCAACTCTGGGACCTTATATAGACAGGTGCGTGTCTTTCCAAATCATGTCCAATCAATTGAATTTACCACAGGTGGACTCCAATCAAGTAGTAGAAACATCTCAAGGATGATACATGGAAACAAGATGCACCTGAGCTCAATTTAGAGTCTCATAGGTATTCAGACCCTTTGCTATGTAAATAAGGTATCTGTTTTCTAAAAACCTGCTTTCGCTTTGTCATTATGGGGTATTGTGTGTAGATTGATGAGGATTTTTTATTTATTTAATCAATTTTACAATAAGGCTGTAACTTAACAAAATGTGGAAAAAGTCAAGGGGTCTGAATACTTTGAATGCACTGTATCTACCTCAATTACCTCGTACCCCTGCACATCAACTCGGTACTGGTACCTTGTGTATATAGCCAAGTTATTTTTATTTAATTTATTTATTTCACCTTTATTTAACCAGGTAAGCCAGTTGAGAACAAGTTCTCATTTACAACTGCGACCTGGCCAAGATAAAGCAAAGCAGTGCGATAAAAAACAACAATACAGAGTTACATATGGGGTAAACAAAACATAAAGTCAAAAATACAACAGAAAATATATATACAGTGTGTGCAAATGTAGCAAGTTATGGAGGTAAGGCAATAAATAGGCCATAGTGCAAAATAATTACAATTAGTATTAACACTGGAATGATAGATGTGAAAGAGATGATGTGCAAATAGAGATACTGGGGTGCAAATGAGCAAAATAAATAACAATATGGGGATGAGGTAGTTGGATGGGCTAATTTCAGATGGGCTGTGTACAGGTGCAGTGATCGGTAAGCTGCTCTGACAACTGATGCTTAAAGTTAGTGAGGGAGATAAGAGTCTCCAGCTTCAGAGATTTTTGCAGTTCGTTCCAGTCATTGGCAGCAGAGTACTGGAAGGAATGGCGGCCAAAGGAGGTGTTGGCTTTGGGGATGACCAGTGAGATATACCTACTGGAGCGCATACTACGGGTGGGTGTTGCTATTGTGACCAATGAGCTAAGATAAGGCAGGGATTTGCCTAGCAGTGATTTATAGATGACCTGGAGCCAGTGGGTTTGGCGACAAATATGTAGTGAGGACCAGCCAACAAGAGCGTACAGGTCACAGTGGTGGGTAGTATATGGGTCTTTGGTGACAAAACAGAATGCACTGTGATAGACTACATCCAATTTGCTGAATTACTGTTACTCATTGTGTATTTATTCCTTGTGTTATTGTCTTTTTCAATTTCTTTCTCTGCATTGTTGGGAAGGGCCCGTAAGTAAGCATTTCACTGGTAGTCTACACCTATTTTTTACGAAGCATGTGACAAATACAATTTGATTTGATACTAGAGACGGGAATGTTTACGGAATGAAACCCTGACAGAATCCTAAGAACATAATGAACGGTGCATATAAGGGCATAGTGACGGGTTTTCTGGATTGGAACTCAGCCAGGCTCTTCACTGTGTGTACGTGCTTTACCTGTGTATTCCCCTAGGATCAGCCTTGACATGATGACAGTGAAGATGGGCGCAGAGCTCTTCACAGTCTCGGCAAAGGAGACAGCCACATTCTTCAGGCTCACCAGTCCCATCACCACACTGGTGAACCTACAGAACGGAACAGGTCAGTGGCATTCAGACCAGAAAACAATCCCACACTACACCCACTCTGAACCTGAACCTCTGCTACACAAAGTTTGTTTCAATTTTCCAGATTGTCAAACTGTTTGTAAACTCCCCAATCACCTTCAGCACCTGGCCTACAAAGGGGTGGTCTTCGTAGCTGACAATGACAAAACTGCCTAGACTTTCAGCAAGTGTTGACTTGGTCACAGCTGCAGCTTCATCTTGCTGTTCCTCAGTGATGGTGTTCTCCTGATGGTATTCTTGGTCTGCTGACGCTGTATTATTTTCTGTGCCACTGTGGATGTGACCTGGTGCAATTTCATGGTTCCTTTGACTCCAGCAAGGTTGTTTGGCACAGCTTCATCGTGCTTAGTGACATCTGTAATCCAAAAGAACTTGATGCTCGATCCACTCTTCTCAAGTAGTTCGAAGAGCTCCTTGGGAGTCTGCACATCCTCCCCCCGTTGAATGTGTTTGTCTGCACAATGTTTCACAGCCCCACCCACGCCATCTGGTGCCACCTTCCCATGGACTTTTCTGAAAGGTTCCAGGTGATTTGTTTGAATCTGTAAATATATGGCAGAGTGCTGAATAGGTACATGTTCTTCTTGTTTCTGTATTGGGTGACAGGACTATCGCTCATCATGTGGAGTGTCATGATTTGTGCATTCTTGTTCTTGACATCTCTCAGGACAGGCTCCAGGTGAGCCCATACTGTCTCTCATGTCTAAGGGAGTCAGATATGGTGGCGTAGGACTGGCTTCCCTCTGATGTGTATGGATCGTAGCCTGCTGTCTACTCCCGCCAAAGTGGAACGCCTGGATTTCTGTAGCCAATTTGCAACTGAGCCAACAGTAATTTGTGTCCTGATGATAAAGGCATTTGCTTGATAAAGGCATCTGAAAATTGACCCTCAATTAATATAGATAGACAGATAGGATAGTAGTTACAGTGGGGAAAAAAAGTATTTAGTCAGCCACCAATTGTGCAAGTTCTCCCACTTAAAAAGATGAGAGAGGCCTGTAACTTTCATCATAGGTACACGTCAACTATGACAGACAAATTGCGAATTGTTTTCTCCAGAAAATCACATTGTAGGATTTTTAATGAATTTATTTGCAAATTATGGTGGAAAATAAGTATTTGGTCAATAACAAAAGTTTCTCAATACTTTGTTATATACCCTTTGTTGGCAATGACACAGGTCAAACGTTTTCTGTAAGTCTTCACAAGGTTTTCACACACTGTTGCTGGTATTTTGGCCCATTCCTCCATGCAGATCTCCTCTAGAGCAGTGATGTTTTGGGGCTGTCGCTGGGCAACACAGACTTTCAACTCCCTCCAAAGATTTTCTATGGGGTTGAGATCTGGAGACTGGCTAGGCCACTCCAGGACCTTGAAATGCTTCTTACGAAGCCACTCCTTCGTTGCCCGGGCGGTGTGTTTGGGATCATTGTCATGCTGAAAGACCCAGCCACGTTTCATCTTCAATGCCCTTGCTGATGGAAGGAGGTTTTCACTCAAAATCTCACGATACATGGCCCCATTCATTCTTTCCTTTACACGGATCAGTCGTCCTGGTCCCTTTGCAGAAAAACAGCCCCAAAGCATGATGTTTCCACCCCCATGCTTCACAGTAGGTATGGTGTTCTTTGGATGCAACTCAGCATTCTTTGTCCTCCAAACGCGACGAGTTGAGTTTTTACCAAAAAGTTCTATTTTGGTTTCATCTGACCATATGACATTCTCCCAATCCTCTTCTGGATCATCCAAATGCACTCTAGCAAACTTCAGACGGGCCTGGACATGTACTGACTTAAGCAGGGGGACACATCTGGCACTGCAGGATTTGAGTCCCTGGCGGCGTAGTGTGTTACTGATGGTAGGCTTTGTTACTTTGGTCCCAGCTCTCTGCAGGTCATTCACTAGGTCCCCCCGTGTGGTTCTGGGATTTTTGCTCACCGTTCTTGTGATCATTTTGACCCCACGGGGTGAGATCTTGCGTGGAGCCCCAGATCGAGGGAGATTATCAGTGGTCTTGTATGTCTTCCATTTCCTAATAATTGCTCCCACAGTTGATTTCTTCAAACCAAGCTGCTTCCCTATTGCAGATTCAGTCTTCCCAGCCGGGTGCAGGTCTACAATTTTGTTTCTGGTGTACTTTGACAGCTCTTTGGTCTTGGCCATAGTGGAGTTTGGAGTGTGACTGTTTGAGGTTGTGGACAGGTGTCTTTTATACTGATAACAAGTTCAAACAGGTGCCATTAATACAGGTAACGAGTGGAGGACAGAGGAGCCTCTTAAAGAAGAAGTTACAGGTCTGTGAGAGCCAGAAATCTTGCTTGTTTGTAGGTGACCAAATACTTATTTTCCACCATAATTTGCAAATAAATTCATTAAAAATCCTACAATGTGATTTTCTGGAGAAAACAATTCGCAATTTGTCTGTCATAGTTGACGTGTACCTATGATGAAAGTTACAGGCCTCTCTCATCTTTTTAAGTGGGAGAACTTGCACAATTGGTGGCTGACAAAATACTTTTTCCCCCCACTGTATTTACGTAAAGTTATTTTCAGTATTAGCGGCTTGATGTACATTACTATAAAACAACAAAAACTGACATAAAAACACCCATATCCTACAAAAACTTGTGTTTTTACATATATTATGTATTTGTGTGTACAGAAAATATATATAGATGAATAGATAACTTAATACAAAGACAAAACATATTGACATCATTCAGTACAACCGTTTAGTCATATGGTGTAACCAGAATTTCTGGTGACTCCGAATGATCATTTTGGTTACACCGTATTACTTTTCTCACAAACATGTTTTAGAGGCAACTGCTTATGCACCCATGTGAACATTTGACTTTGACATCAAGTATGTATCTTGAGTATCAAAATAAAATATACGCTTTTCAGATAATTCAACATTTTAATTGGTTTTTAGCGGATGCACCAAATGATCAGATTTTTGGGGTAAAACCTGATAGGGAGTGGAAATGTAAACTTATCAAAGATTTACGAGAGACTTGCTAAACTTTATTCTTAACCAAAGGGTATCTCACAGGCATCTTAATGATGTCACATCCTGTCACGAGTACCATCATGTGATTTGATCCAAAATGATGACTTTATGTCGGTCGCACAGAATGATAATCATGAAGGCTATTTTTCCGGACAAAAGTATTTAAAGTATTTAAAACCTTTCTGCCTAAACTGTCTTACCCAGACGTTTAGTGTAATAGACCCTTAAAAAAATAATGCAAGAATAATAATTTGACAGTTTTGTTTTGATTTGAGATGTTTTAACATTTATTTAGATTACATTTGTCTTCTGACTTTTTTTTTTACGAAAGTGACCGTGTTTTTCACATTTAACCATTAACTCTTTTAGGACTCAATAAAAGAGAATGGGTATAGTTACATAACATAAAATATGTATAAATTGGTTGTTGATTTTGGAAAATATTTCATTCGGACACCAAAATATGCACGTCACGTCATTGACCTTACCTGTAATGATAGAGGTGCTGATATTGAGGTGCAGCATCTCACTTCCCTAAAAATATACCTGTTTAGCGGTCATTTAAGTTCAACAACCATTTTGGTAGCACTGATACCTCTCCCATGGAAACAACACTCAAATAAACATTGATCAATTAACGTTAGCCATTACGGAAATAAAGGCTAGTCATGTATTAGTCCAACTTAACAAAAATAAACAAACCAACCAAATAACTTCAACAATGCAGCTGAAAGTAGAGTCATAAGAGTGCAGACCCACCTCATGAGCCCCACAAACAGCATGATCATGAGGAAGTTGGGGGGGTACTCAGTCCTGGACTTGTGCTGGTATAGGCAGCAAGGCACATACATCTTCAGAAAGCCTATGATGGTGGTGGAGACCATTTGAACAGCACCTACAAATCAATTCAAACCAATAAACCATGGTACAACAACATGTAGGAATTGAGTCCTCTACCTCTGATGCCCTTAGTACCCTGAATAGAATCAACCAACTATGAGTCAAACCATCTATTGATTGGAGTATTGACAATTTGAAATTGAGTGTGTGTGTGTGTGTGTGTGTGTGTGCATGCGGATGCCTGTTCCTTACCCAGCATGCTGGGCTCCCCCTCTAGCAGTGATAGGATGTACTTGTTGAGGAACAGTGTGCAGAAGCTGAAGAAGTACCACAGGCCCAGGTAGACCAGCGACTTGGAGTTCCACACCCCTGAATCAGCCTCGATTATTGTGGTCTCTGTGATGGTGATCTTCAGCACGTGTTCCCCCGGCATGCTCTCGCTGCGTGCCAGCACCACACGCTCCTGCCTGCTTTGGAACGGCGAAAGAAACCGCCACAGGGAATGTCTTCCAGCCCGACAGTTGGACGACATGACGCACGGCGCCCGAGGATCCACTGACCAGGATCCAGCAGGCACAAACACAGAGAGGAGGCGGAGGGGACTGCTGGAGAGGGCCGGTCAATCCATCGTCAGTCTGTGTGTCTATCCAACGGTGTGTTCAGCATGCCTGTAGAAATGGTGGTCTCTGCAACACAGCTAAAAAACAAGGAATGAATGTAGTTGACAGTCATCTAGCATTATGCCATTTTTAAATCATCATCGAGGCATCAAAGTTACTCAACCCATATGCAGTCTTTATTGGTTTTCTAAATGATACACTAGATATTACAGGCAATACTGCCGGGCAAAAGCTTCTAACAGTGCAAACCAAGAGTCAGATCCACAAGACATGGCAATTAAAAGCCATGAGTGGTGAGTATCATCACAGTGCAAAGATCAGTGTAGATAAATTAGTTTCGATCTTAATTTCTATAGAAACCACTAATAAAAACATAGCTACAAGTCAGTTTACATGCCAGGGCATATATTAATACCTAAAGCTGAAATACTTGAAATATTGCTATTGTTGCTGCCTCTGGCATCCTCATGTGACATTTTAAACTCGAAAGTTTTAGCTAGCTAGCTAACTAACTATACTGAACAGAAATATAAATGCAACATGTAAAGTGTTGGTCCCATGTTTCATGAGCTGAAATGAAAGATCCCAGAAATGTCCATACTCACAAAAAGCTTATTTCTCTCAAATGTTGTGCACAAATCTGTTTACATTAGTGAGCATTTCTCCTTTGCCAAGATAATCTATCCACCTGACAGGTGTGGCATATCAAGAAGCTGATTAAATAGCATGATCATTACACGGGTGCACCTTGTGCTGGGGGACAATAAAAGGACACTCTAAAATGTGCAGTTTTGTCACACAATACCATGCTACAGTTTCCTCAAGTTGAGGGAGCGTGCAATTGGCATGCTGACTGCAGGAATGTCCACCAAAGCTGTTACCACAGAATTTAATGTTAATTGTTCTACCATAAACTGCCTCCAACATCATTTTAGAGAATTTGGCAGTAAATGATCCACCCAAATCATTTGGGTTCCTGGATCATTTCACAGCATTATAAGGCTGAGTTGAGACAATGACTTATCAATGACCCAAACCCAGCTCAGTTAATCCCTACCATTGTGACGCTGAGTTGACATAATGCTTCAGCAAATGTACATTACACCAGGGGCGTCGGTAGACACAATATAAGTAACCTAATTTATGTCCCTCTAACTACCCTGAATGCCTCTGCTGATCCTACAGCTATTGCATGCAGTAATAATGTGCCTATGAACCAGAGTTATACAGTTAGCACTGAGGCGTGTGCCCTAGTAGGAAGTCCACTGTGTGCAGCTCACCCTGCACTAACATAAATAACATGAGCATATCCATTTCTGCTAAGCTTCCCAGTAAAGCAATGAAAACAAGTAAGCATCCCAGAAGAAAAGTGCTCAAAATAGCCCACGTTAACATATGTAGCTAAAGAAACAACGTTCATGAAATCACCAATTTGCTAGTAACAGATTACATTCATATTCTGACTATCTCTGAAACTCACTTAGGGCCTAGATAATATCTTTGATGATACAGTGGTAGCAATACAAGGTTATAACATTTACAGAAAAGACAGAAATGCCAATGGTGGAGGTGTTGCTGTTTATATTTAAAACCACATTCCTGTAATGCTAAGAGAGGATCTCATGTTAAATACTGTTGAAGTAATATGGCTTCAAACTGTAACCAGTGCCTGCAACCTGGTTCAGGTTATCATTCAACCTACCAGGGTAGTTACAAACAGCACAGGGATGAAATCATCAACATGTATTGATCACATCTTTACTAATGCTGCAGAAATTTGCTTTAAAGCAGTATCCAAATCCATCGGATGTAGTGATCACAATATAGTAGTCATATCTAGGAAAACCAAAGTTCCAAAGGCTGGGCCAAATATAGTGTATAAGAGGTCATACAATACGTTTTGTAGTGATTCCTTTGTTGTTGATGTAAATAATATTTGTTGGTCCACAGTGTGTAATGAGGAGCAAACAGATGCTGCACTTGACACATTTATGAAATTGCTTATTCCAGTTACTAATAAGTATGCACCCATTAAGAAAATGACTGTAAAAACTGTTAAATCCCCGTGGATTGATGAGAAACTGAAAAATGGTATGGTTGAGAGGGATGAGGTAAAAGGAATGGCAAATAAGTCTGGCTGCACAACCGATTGGCAAACGTATTGTAAATTCAGAAATCATGTGACTAAACTGAATAAAAAGAAGAAACTACACTATGAAACAAAGATAAATGACAAAGAATGATAGTAAAAAGCTTTGGAGCACCTTAAATGAAATGTTGGGGGAAAAAAGCAAACTCAGCTCCATCATTCATTGAATCAGATGGCTCATTCATCACAAAACCGACTGATATTGCCAACTACTTTAATTATATTTTCATTGGCAAGATTAGCAAATTTAGGCATGACATGCCAGCAACAAACACTGACACTACACATCCAAGTATATCTGACCAAATTACGAAAGACACGCATTGTAATTTTGAATTCCGTAAAGTGAGTGTGGAAGAGGTGAAAAAAGTATTGTTGTCTATCAACAATGACAAGCCACTGGGGTCTGACAACTTGGATGGAAAATTACTGAGGATAATAGCGGACGATATTGCCACTCCTATTTGCCATATTTCCAATTTAAGCGAAGTCTGTCCATAATAAAGCGCTACTCTACCTTGTTAACAGCACTATCAACAAGGCAGGTTCTACAGGCCCTAGTTTTGTCGCACCTGGACTACTGTTCAGTCGTGTGGTCAGGTGCCACAAAAAGGGACTTAGGAAAATTGCAATTGGCTCAGAACAGGGCAGCACGGCTGGCCCTTGGATGCACACAGAGCGCTAACATCAATAATATGCATGTCAACCTCTCCTGGCTCAAAGTGGAGGAGAGATTGACTTCATCACTACTTGTTTTTATGAGAGGTAATGACATGTTGAATGCACCGAGCTGTCTGTTTGCACTACTGGCGCACAGCTCGGACACCCATACATACCCCACAAGACATGTCACAAGGTCTCTTCACAGTCCCCAAGTCCAGAACAGACTATGGGAGGCGCACAGTACTACATAGAGCCATGACTACATGGAACTCTATTCCACATCAAGTAACTGATGCAAGCAGTAAAATTCGATTTTTTTTTGTAAAAAGAGAGAAAAATACACCTTATGGAACAGCGGGGACTGTGAAGCAACAAAAACATAGGCACAGACACATGCATATACACACAATAACATAGGCACTATACACATGTACACATGGATTTTGTATTGTAGATATGTGGTAGTGGTGGAGTAGGGGCCTAAGGGCACACAGTGTGTTGTGAAATCTGTGAATGTATTGTAATGTTTTTAAAATTGTATATAACTGCCTTAATTTTGCGTGACCCCAGGAGGAGTAGTTGCTGCCTTGGCAGCAGCGAATGGGGATCCATAATAATTACAAATACAAACTAAATCTGATTGACTGGGCCTATGCCCTTCCAGACACACCCATGGCTGCGCCCCTGCCCAGTCATGTGAAATCCATAGATTAGACCTAATTTATTTATTTCAATTGACTGATTTCCTTATATGAACTGTAACTCAGCAAAATCTTTGAAATTGTTGCATTTGTATTTTTGTTCAGTATAGTTGACAAGCAAAATGTACCAGTTGGCTAATGCTAGCTAACGTTAGCTTAAAATGTGAATTCGCTTGTGCCTGTCAAATAGCCTGCTCGTGAACATACTCATTCATTAAATGAACGCGCTGTTCATTGGTAAAATAATAATTTTTCAAAAAGGCTTTCCAACTCAGTTTGTAGATGCAGTAAATACGGGAATTAGGAATTACCTTACCAAATGGTCACACCTATGCAACTCCGATTTCCAGTTGCAACCGTAACGTTGGCTATCTGAGTTCAAAACAATAGCAAGCATGAGGACATCACCTGTCGTCACTAGTTAACACAGCCACAAAGTCATAATTATGGCTAAAGCCGGCCCATTTCTACAATTTATCTTCTTAAAATCAGATTTTTAAACCTAACCCTAATCTTAACCACACTGCTAACCTTATGCCTAACCTACTTTTGTAGACAATTTTGACTTTGTGGCTGTGGTATCTAGTGGAAACCGGCACCCACCCCGCGCTTGTTGGACTTCCAATTACTTTCACGGAGTTTACCGTTGGCTTGAGCCTACTGTCGAGACCGCAACTCCGCAGCAGCACTATTTCAAATCTTTAAAATTACAAAGGTGTCCTAATATGTCGTTTTTAATAGATAATACAAGTGACACAGCGAATTTGCATGTTAATAGTGGAAGTTGTCTACGTTCATAACGTACATTTAAAAGACACTTTGCATTTGTAAACCAGTGAAGATTGGCAAACTCTGCATTCATCTCAATTTTCGAAACGTTTAATCTTGAACATACCCCTGATGAGGTTGCACTGGAAATGTTTGACCACAAGGGGGTATAATGACTCCCCAATCCACTGATCAATGCATTGGAATATGTAAACAAAGACAATACAAAGGTTTTGTATAATTTCAGCCAGTAGTTTTGAAATTAGCACTCATGACAGTCATGAGTAAAAACTGGTCCCTGAAAATTGTGTACAACGCATAGAGATAGAGAGGACTCCTCTTTGTATCTGTGCCATCATAGCATCTGTGACAGCATAGGCAGCGCCATTGAGGCAATCTTCATTTTGAAGTAGTCAATTTTCTTCTTCAAAATTGGCTGATCCCTCCTGATGACCCGGTTGGACATGACTCCAACAGGGTCACAAGGAGGCATCAGCCAATGAGGTTGAAAGTCCCACCCAGTTGACTACATTAAAATGGTGGAAGCCATCAATGGCGCTGCCCATGCTAATACCACCTTTTGGCCTCTATCATTCTCTATGGTACAACATCATCCATTTCGTATGATATG